GGACCACTAGGAGCCCACCTGTTGCCATACTGCAGCCGCCGGCGGCGGTGAGGGGCGGAGCCGGGCGGGCGGCGGTGCATTCCTCGCCGACTGCGGACGCCGCGCCGCTCTGCCAGTGGCGGCCGGTGGCGGCCGGTGGCGGGCCGCCGCTGAGGTGTGGCCGACTTAGGACCGCACCTGACACGAACTCGGCGGAGGATCAGCCGCGCCGGCAGGCCGACAGCGCACGCGCGCCCGATCTGCCGCCGCTCCTGCTGCTGCCGCCTGGGTGGCACGTCCCGGCGCCCCGGGCTTTCGGCAGGCCGGCGCCGCGCCTCTATTCAGCTCTCCCTGCCCCAGGCCGGACCAGATGGCGAGCTGTGGGTGGCAGACCGGCGCGCCGCCGAGCCCAGATGACCAGCGCCGCCGGCCGACGGTCGCAGCGGGAGCGCTGGTCCCGCGTCAGAGTCTGGCTCGTGCTAAGCAGAATTTATCGCTTGGATGCTCACGGGGAGTTTTGCAGCTGACGTTTGTGAAAATTACCTTAAACGTGGCTAAGAACCTCACAACCACCGGCTAAGACCCGTGAATATTATATAATTCGGTTCTGTTCACCGTTGTCTGCTTGGGTAAACCCAAACGGCAAGGACAGTGGGATGTCTGGTTTTGATCTGTTCAGACTCCGCGGTAGCTTGCTCTTCAATCTCTGGCTCTGCGGTCCGGCCGTTGTCCTCCTGTACCTCCCTTGTTCCTCCGCTGTCCTTTCCCAGCCCTTCTGCTAGTGCTGTCCCTTTGTTGGTGCTTTGTTATCTGCTCTGCTGTCGGCTCTGCCGTCCTGCACCGTCGGGCCGCTGTTCACTTTGCCGTCGGTCCGATGTCGTCCTGCTGTCGGTCGCGGCGCGGACGCGGCGGTCGCGGCGCGGTGCTGACAGCCAGCGCGAACTCCAGTCGTGCCAGCCCCGTCCGTCGGTCCGTTTGAGGTGGTCGGCTGATGGACGGCGCTGTGGTGCCGCCTCCTCTGCAGCGGTGCCGCCAGGTGGCCCCGCGCCGCTCCCTCCGCTGCCGCTGCTGCTGCTGGCTCCCCAGGTCCGCCCCGCCCCGCCCCCGCCCCCGCCCCCGCACGGGGACCGTGACACCTCCGGCCGGCCGTCACGCTCGGTGTGCGTCACCGACCCCCGCGTTACGCCGGCTTTCACGGCGTGTGACGCACGAAGCCAGAGGCGGAACAAGGCTCCCTGTAGCGGATCTGACGTGCGTCACGACTCTGGTACGATGACACGGCACGGGTCATGATGACATAGTGTAGGTCACGGTGACACTGCTCAGGTCACGGTGACACGGGACTCGTAACGGTGACACAGCGTAGGTCACGTTGGCATGGAACTGGTTATATCTTCCTGTTACTCGAGAAGAGGCGATGTTGGTGCGAATGGTGAAACATACGGTGCATTGTGCTGGAACATGCGAGTGTGCACAATCCAGGCACGATTCTTTGTGCGCCGTCTGGAGCATGGGAAAGGTTGCGCCGCGTTGTGTAGGTCAAACTATTGGCTCACATTGCGCCGGCTCTGGCGTAGACCGTATCTGGAGCAGACTGGTCAGTTTTGGACGCCACATTTGGAGTTCAGACGGCACCGCTCCCCATCTCGGCGATATAAGTGGCACCAAGTCGGGCAGCGCAGCCCCCATCTCCGCACGCGAAGTCTGTATGCCGCTGCGTTACAGTGGGATGCCTCACTGGGAGAGTTGGCGATGGATCGCGCAGTTCAGACCACGCCTGACAGACGTGCTCCTGTTGATCTGCTAGACCCACACTAGTCTGTAATGGTCAGCTGGCGCTGTCAGAGACTCGGGCACGGTCAGGGGCGGTCAAAACGTGCGAGTCGTGTGTAGAGGCATCACGGAGACCCTGCCACCGTTACCATCGTTGCGAGCGCCTCTGAGCGTATTAATGTCGGCGGACCCATGGGTGACGTGGCCGCAGCGGTCAAGCGACGAGCACGTCCGCTGCTGCACGGCCAGGCTGCAGCTCGGGCGTCACTCGGCGATGTCTGGTCCGTCTCCGGCGGCCGTCCGGCCTGTCACTCATCGTCTTCCGGCTGTCCCCTTATCGTCCGTCTCGGCGGTGACCGCCGTCACCAGCGTCCCTGACGCCATCAGCACCGGCGAGTGGACGGCGCAGCTGCCGCTCTGCAGCCGGCGGTTACTGCATTTAGTGATACTGCAGCTAATGATGCAGCTGGTGATACTGCAGTTCTGGTGATACTGCTGATGATGATAGTGATATTGCACCTGCTGATGGTGATACCGCAACTGCTGCTAATGATACAGCAGCTTGTGATACTACAGATAATGATGCAGCCGTTGATGATAATACTACAGCCGGTAACAGGCGATAATGCAGTTTATAATTTTGATGGACCTAAACGATCATACAGACGCTGGATTTATCTTGAAGTAAACCACAGCTGCCCACTAACCCCGGCTTAGCCATGGGAGTGGAGCTGGCCAACAAAAAGGCGCAACATGCAGCTCGGCTCGAATTGGTATGTTGTCAACGGCTAAAGGAAGTCAGCAGTCGGCTAGTCGACCGCATGCATGCTTGTCGGATTAAAAACTGGGGATCGGGCGCGTTTGACACGGTTAGGTACACAGGGCCGCGGGCCGGCGTTACGAGCTAGGGCACCCCTTTGTCGGGTGCAGGCGCAGCAGTTCGCTCGTTTTGTGTGCTCGTGTGGCTAGCGATTCCGGCGAAACAATCGGGAAGACTTGTAAATACACTGCGACACAGCCGGCTAAAGCTGGGGCATTACATGCATTCACGCTGGATAAGGAAAAATCAGAACGTTAGGAGATTGTTATGAATGTTTGAAACTACTGACAAGCTCATGATATTTTAATGACTGGTCGTGATTCTGGGAAGGAGAGAAAAGAAAGCACGCAACTTGAGCGTTTTCTGCTCATTTAGCAGACAGAGACATGGAAGTGTATATGGACCATTGTGACAAGTTTAAAGTCACGATGCATGTTTTCTACTCGTTTTGCTTTGATGCTACAAGCCTTTATTGATTTATTCGACTATATTTGATCTATCTTTATTGGAACCTTCCGGTATAAAGAACACAGCTATAAGATCTTGCATAAAACAGACGCAGCATGCAAAAAATACCTAATATTAAAAAAGTCTGCTTGCGGAACTCTTGTCGATTTCAGCATCCTTAAGTCCAATAGATAAACCGCCCTTCTTTTATTTGCAATCCTTGAACACCTAACGGCTGGTACAGCGCTCAAAAGTAACTGCAACACCACCAAACCACAACAAGCATTTTGTTCGCTGTCGAACATTTCCTCGACCCCGGCACCGTCTGCCGGTAATCCCCCTCCCCCCTCCACCACCACCTGGCCGATACCGCACCGGTACTCTCTCCGCGGGACCCCATGTATCGGCGACTTTGTCCAGCACTATACCGGCCATAAATTACTGAAATGAGCGCCGGCCGTCGGGTGACGTCACACTGGCTCCTGGGTCCCCGCCGAGAGGATGGGCCCAGTCGGTGGCCGGCACTCCCGTGGGCACCGAATGGCCGCCGAATGGGCGCTGGATAGTGGGATTTTAATGGCGAATGGGTATCGAATGGTAATTCGAATAGGCGCCGAATGGGTGTCGTCCAGTGGGTCGGACTAGCAGGGAAATGGGTACGGAAGGGGTAGTGGAATGGGTGCCGAATAAGATGGGGAAGGATGTCTGAATGGCTGACGAATTGTTGAGGATCGGGGAGTGAGGCTGACGGGAAATGGTCGAGGAATAGGGACCCAACGTGGCCCGATGTCGGTTGGTCGGGGACAAGACGTCCCAAATCTACTCGCGGCACGATCGAGAAGGGAAGAAACGTAAAGGGATGGACGAGACGGCCCTGGGACGGGACGTGGCCGGGACGGACGGCAGGTGGGAGCCGGGAGCGGTCAGCGCACATACATCACTGTCTGCCGGTCGCAGTCGGGAGCCGCCACCCATCACCGCTTGCTCGTACTTACCAGGACAGTGGCGGGCACTGAGGACCGCGCTGGGATGGGACGGACAGGGCAGGACCGTACTCCGGGCCCGTGTCACCTGTGTCGACATCACCGCTGTCAGATGGAAGGGTCGTTCACAACGGGTTAGGTATGCCTGTAACGGGGCTAGCCATGATATCGAGAAACCGTCTGTTTTAGCAGATTGCGTATTATTTCCGCAATTGTTCTGGACGATAATGTTATATTTACAGCCAACTCCCAATCAGACCTGTCTGCATGTTTTATAAACTTCGCTTCAAGGTCTCCCGTCGCACGCCTGTCCCTCCCCTCCCCACGCCGTTCCATGAAGCGGTAGATTCGGTACCAGTTCTGCGACGGCCGTGCACCTATCGAGCGGTGTGCTAACGGTACCCGCTGTACCGACACCGTCCTTATGGGGCGCCGCAGACGACCACAGCCGGCCGGCCACCGGCCCCCACCGGTCCTCACGTGTCCTCGACGAGTCCTCGGTCAGTCCTCGGCTTGTCCGCCTGTCCGCGCCGGTCCTCAGTGAGCCGAGGAGGAAAATATGCGGCGCCGGACACTGCCGCGCTAGCCTTGCCCGGCGCTGTTGGACAATGCATCCTGTCTGCGGTATAATGTGTACCGCCGTCGGCCTGAATAATGCAGCATGAGGCCGGCCACTGTGGCCGATACCGCACCGACAATGGGGCCGCACCGGGCCGAACCGGGCCGGACCGAACCGAACCGGGCTGGAAGAGAGCCAGCGGCCGCCGCTGCTGGTGTATGCGGGGATATACGAGAGATGTGTGCTGGCTGTCCTGTATGCGGTGGCGTACGGTGCCTAATTGTACGCAAATGTAGTACGAGCTCATGGCGACTGTATTTAAAAACCGGTATGCTGCGGTTTATAGCTCCCGTTATGACGGGAAAGTGTGGGCTTGGGAGCACATTGGTTCATGGTTATTGTTTAGTGCCTGAGTCTGACCGTGATTTGTTTGTTTCAGGTACATCCACAGCAAGGAGAAGCCGTTCCGATGCACCGAGTGCGGGAAGGGATTCTGCCAGTCCCGGACTCTGGCCGTTCACAAGATCCTCCATCTGGAGGAGTCGCCGCACAAGTGTCCCACCTGCGGCAAGTCGTTCAACCAGCGCTCCAACCTCAAGACCCACCTGCTGACGCACACGGACCTCAAGCCGTACGAGTGCCAGGCCTGCGGGAAGGTTTTCAGGTAGGTGTCTATCACCGGGCCCATCGGCTGACCGAGCAGCGCCAGCCTTGCAAACAGTTTATCTGGCCGAGTTCTGGGAAGCTGACCGTGGCTGCAGCGCCACGGCTCGGGGCAAAAGAATTCGGCCGCGCTGTGGTTTAGCAGTTGGTTAGAGGCTTCGAGGAAGGCTTGTAATCAGGGTGTGAAAGCGCTCTAATTGGTCGATCGGTGCAATAAACACTGGCTGCGGTCCGGTGGGAAACCCTGTCGGTATCTGGACAGACTGGCCGCGGAATTCGGGCCACATGTCGAGACGCCGCCGCCGCTGCCGGCCGGCCGGACGAGTCGGGGACGCCGCCACCGACCTCTGGTCTTTGTCCGGCTCTCCGCCTGTCCGCTCGGCCCATCTGCCGCCCCGTCAGCGGTCGATCTGCGGCCGGGGCCAGTGGCCTGTTTAGAGGAATCCGTCCTCTGCTTGTACGGCTTCTGTGCGTCGTCCGCGCCCGTATCTGGTCCGTATCAGCGCGGCCGGCAGCGGTAACGTTTCAAGTGTTCTCTGCGTACAGAGTGCGGTGGCTGCGCTGTCCAGACGCCGTCACGTGCGCGGCGGCTCGCTCTGTCCCCGAACTGACCGCTAGCGGAGTTTCGACACCACGCTCCCCTCCCCAGTTGACCTCAGTCCAGCGCTACCCCGACACCGATATGTACTGCGCAGACTGTGCCATGTAGCGTGCCCTCCCCCTTCAGCCCCCCCCCCATCCCTGAGGCCCAGAGTGGAATGTCGCCCCACACTGCTACGCCCCACTCACCTGACCCAGAGTGGGGAGGGGTGCGATTTTAGCCGCTCACTGGCATGCCAGCTGACCTCGGAGAGGGAGAGAAAGAGAGAGAGAGAGAGAGAGAGAGAGAGAGAGAGAGAGAGAGAGAGAGAGAGAGAGGGAGAGAGAGAGAGAGGGAGGAGAGGAGACAGCTGGTCCGTACAGCAAACTCGGCGCATGCTGTCTTGTCTTTGAATGTGTTGTCAGCTAGATAGATAGGTAGGATAGATATTAGAGAGAAAAGATAGGTCAGATAGATTATTTGGATGTGGATGTTGATGAATCCACCGCACACCGACCACCCTCTCGTTTAATCGTCTCTCCACCACCACCGCCGCCACCCATTACCGATCATTGCTCTGACCTCTCTCTCCCATTTCTGCAGGCGCAACTGCGACCTGCGGCGTCATTCTCTGACCCACTCACTGGGCGACGCGTCGGCGGCGGACGAACCGGCGGCCGGACCGAGCGCCGGACCGAGCGCCGCCGCAGGAAGCTCTACCACCTCCCCGCCGGACGCGCACGACGTCGACGAAGACGAAGACGAGGAAGAAGATGAGGACGAGCCTGCCGAAGATGAATGCAGCGACGTGGATGTGGTCGGATCGTCGGGCGATGAGCGCGCTCCGGGAGACACGTCACACGAGGATGGTGACGGAGTCGTCACGACGCATGCGGCTAGCGCTGAGGTCACACACAGGAGTGATGACGCTGTTACGGTCGGTGCGGAGGGCGTCATCCGCAGCGCTGAGACGTCGGCGCGCAGCAGCGAGCCGCTCATCCGTGGAAACGATGCCGTCATCCGAGGAGGCGCGGATGCTGTGATTCGTAGCGGCGACCCCGTCATCCGTAGAAGTGATCCCGTCATCCGAAGTAGCGATCCCGTCATCCGTAGCGGTGCTCCCGTCATCCGTAGCGGTGACGCCGTCATCCGAAGTGGCGAGCCCGTCATCCGAGGTGGTGACGCCGTCATCCGAGGCGGCGCACACGTCAGCGTACCGCCGATGCGTCCCGCACAGCCTTCAGCCAGCCGGTCCACAGGCTTCAGCATAGACGACATCATGAAGCGATGAGGCTGATGATCGGGCCGGAGACGCGGCCAGCGTCGCTATCGGTACAGACGCCGAGTGATTGCCGTTGAGACCTTGTCTGGTGCTCAGTGACCGCCCCTGAGGCCACCTCTGGTGCTCAGTGACCGCCTCAGGCGCTCTGAGGTCGCGGACGGGACGGGACTGAGCGATGACAGTTAGTCGAGGTTCAGGTGATACCACGCCGACTGGAGGGACCTCGCGATCCGTGCGAGATGAATGTGATTGTGCGGCCCGGCGAGTCGCCGGACCGGCCAAGACGCATGCGCAGTGGGACTTTCAGAGCCTTCGCAGGCCTTCGCATCGCGTGTGGCTGTGCAAAATGTTATTTGTGTTCACGGGGTGCTTAGCGTGGGACCAGTCGGTGCATGACGCTTGTCGGTAATCATACCGACTGCCATTGAAGTCCGATGGAATATGCGACCCGAGTCTTGTCTTAAAGTTGTTACGATGCTTTGTCGATGAAGCTGCCCGAATTTGCCGTTATGTTATCCCAAAATTATTGCTGCATGCTGCTTTATTGCCTTGATGACAATCTGGATGCAGAATCCCTTTGTTATCCATATGATGGATATTTACGTGAGCGATAATAAATCCCTGTGTATCTATACAGCGGCCATGAGCTTCCAAAGTCATGATATATCGGCACCGGCCGATGTTGTACGATGGGCGACAGAAGCGGCCCCGTTAGCGGGGCTCGGCTCGCCCTTTGTTGTTGTTACAGTGCGGGTGTGCTTGGGGAGGGGAGGGGAGGGGGCAGAGTTGCGGCGATCTCTGGTTAGACAGGGTTCGGACGGTGCATCGCCACAGAGCGTCTGGGGTGTATTGCGGCACAGCATCCCCGCTTCGGCAGGCGCCGCGCAAACCCTCGGATATCCCGCCCCGTCAGGGTCTGTATTCCCTTCGTGTTTGTTCGAGTGCTCTGGTTCTCCGATTGCTAGTAATATGCCCTATTATAAGTAGCCATTATCAGACACAATATCAGCAGATGAGTTGGAGTGCGATGCAGGGGCTGGGCTGGCATTATGTCGGCAGTCGCCGCAGTATTTGTGGTGACTATTGGGATGGCGCTGAACGTGTGTCGAAAAATATGCCGTCGAGGAGGAGCGGTGTACGAATTGAGAGTCGCTCATAGTACCTTGTACTGCTGAGTGTGCCTTGTACTGATGGTGGTGCCTGAATAACTGTAAATAAACTTGGTTGGCTGTTAGAAAGCGTTTGTAGCATAACGACGGGCTAAAAACGTCTTCAACGAGCACTCACCGCGTTTGCTTAGAAAGGATGCTGAAAAATACACGTTACTGGCCATTATTGTTGTAAGATAAAACGACAATTTTCAATGCTAGCTCAGATGATAAGCTAACCGGCGACTGATCTAAGGCAGAGGAGCTGATCTGAAGGTTTCTTACGCGTCTTCTAAAATAATTTATTCTCCCCCCCCCCCAAGGTTTCAACATTTCTCGCGAACGTTTTAAGAGCTTGTGGACAGTTCTGGATAATACTTCCATAGTAAGCCAACTTCTGCTCAACTTCGCACACGTCTGTAATAGTTTTAACTTCAAACTATTGTCGCGTCTGGTCAGTGTAACACCCCCAATGTGTCTAACTAGTCCACATATCTCCAGTCGATCTGTTAGTCAGTGGTCAATGGTCGGTGGTCACATAGCCAATAATGACGAGACGAGTGCTAGGGCTGGATGCTGGATATATTTCAATTGTGATTTAAATCCATAACTAAGCGAAGGAAGGACCATGTGACAACATCATGCTTAGTTACACAAGAGGATAAATTTCACTCACGCAATGGTCATTATTCCGACTGAGCTCACGTTTTTATTTACACTGTGGACCCAATGCTCTCGGTGGCGGTTTTATGTAAAAGCATTGATAACTACATGCAACGGTAGCAGGCACGGACAGAAAGTTTGATGCACTTAAAGACCCCACTAACGAGCCATTCAGCGGCACGATTCGAGGTCTGTTTATGTAAAACGATCCAGAAGTTTTACCTCACTCAAAAGCACACGTGGAACTTTACTAACGCGATAAATATTCACTGGTCGTTCTCGCGTGGAAATGCATCCCATCTTCCGCTAGGATCCGTATGTTCTTTCTATTATTATTTCATGTATTTTTCGAGAAAGGAGAAAGGAGTCCATTAAGAATTCGCCTGTGGTAAATGCTATTTCAAAAATACAACATGCGAGAATGGAGCTATGGTTTGAGCCTTCGCTTCCTTATGTGAAGTGACGACACAATTGTATCTGATTCGTATTTTCATGAAGTGCATAATTGGCCATGCTTTTGAATGCATTAGTCAACACGAAACCTGCAGTGGAAAGGAAAAGTGAAGATGTTGGAGGCTTACGTGTGCATAAGCTTTTGAAAAGTATGTTTTCGTAACTCAATTTGCATTGTGACCTCATTTTGCGGTAAGAGAGAACCGCATAACTGGGCATATTTCAAGTTTGCCATGAGTTGTAAGTGGCGCAACACTTGCCATCCAATGGTCAATAGCTGCTTTTAGCCATTAGAAAGTGGCCTCTGATTCGACACGGCAGCTATTTCGCCGCACCTTCCGAGCGCTGACCTCGAAAACGACGGTCTCTTTTCATGTTCACCGGGCGAGGCCGGTCCCCGAAATAGAGTGCATTCCCCGCAGAGGACGATGCCGGACCACGGCGGCCAGAACCATCAATAAAAACTCGGATAAAAAGCCGGGTGGTCGGCGGTGACACGGGCGCCCGGTGGCCGGCGCCGCAGCTACCTGGGGTCGGCGCCGGCGGCGGGCGGCCGCGCCATCCGCGCTGCGCCGCGGCCGCCGGGCGACCCGCCGCCGGCCTGTCGCGGCCGCGCTGTCCGGACACGACCGCATCGGCCGGTGGCCAAAAGCGACGAGCGCGCGGCATTCTTTCTATTGAGCGGCGTCGGGTGGCGTGGCGGTGCATTCCTGAACGGAGGACGCTGCGAGCGAGCACCGCCGGCCGGCCGGCGCCGCCGGGCGGCCGACAGGCACGGCCGCGCACGTGATGTGACTAAAGAGGCCGCGGAGCGCTCCCGTCGCCCGGCGGGGTGCCCTCAGAGTGAGTCAGATCGCAGCGCCGACGGCAGCCGGCGCTGCTGAGATGTGAGGCCGGTGCCGCCGCCGCACATCTCAGGAGATGGAGGAGGTCAGAGGCGTCACTTGGAACCCGTTTTGGACATGGCAGTTGGCGCCTGCTGGTGCCAGATTATCAACTCTGTAGGGTGGCGATGGTGGTTACGTCTTCAGATATCATTTCGAGGAGAAATCACGGACATGGGATGCATTCTGCATTCATCAGGTGAAAGAATAGGAGCAACTCAATATACGTACGTACACATGAATTCTCGTCAGTTGAGAAAAGCTCAAACAACTTATCAGTCATTCCAAGAAAATAGTCAGAGCAGGGTAGGTGTATGCTGTCGATGGTGGTGCTGCTGGTGCTCAGGTGCAGAAGGTATAGTGTATACGAGTGTATACGTTTCGTAGTGTATCTTTCAGATCATTGTCTATGTGGTTGCTAGCCGAAGTTGCATTGTTGTACGGTAATGCTGCAGCCTGCATTATAGAAGGAAAACTGGCATGTGAACTTAGACTGGTTCGTGAAAGTGGAGTCAAACATTAAGCAACCTTAAAGTTGTTTCATGATTCTGTTTACTGTTGAGATCACTGTACACGAGTTCCGAATCGAAGATTTCTAATCGTTTGCAATCTGATGGTTGCCATCATACCAGGGCTATATGTATTTGTAACTAAGCTACCATAAAGGGAGCAGTTACTCTATCCAATATTTTTCATTGTTAACGTTTTAGTTTATCATATGAATGGGCATGCACTTATCTCCTTGAAGCGTTATAGTATCTCGAATCTTTTTATCGTTGCATTACCATGCTCAACATAATGTTCCTTAGCGCTGCTTGAATCCGCGAGTGCCTACATTGGGGAGGGATAAGTTCAACGACAGTTGCAACTGGCACCTCTGTGTCGTGACGTTGCGTCAGCAGTCGCCACCGCCGGGCCCCCCGGTTGGCCGGGTCGTGTACTCAGCACGGCAGCTGCAGTCTAGAGCAGAGCATACAACACTCTGCGGACACAGCCTGCTGGGGCAGCGGCAGCCGATAGAAATTGCACAGATTCGGGCGCAAGGATATAGTGAGCGGAAGAAAGGGGCATGCGCAGAGAGACGAGACAGCGAGATCACCCACCTCCATGCGGACGGGGTGTGACGAGCCTTCGTACTTAGCAAGGCGAGCTTTAGATATTACTTGTTCGGTAGCTTGCAGTTTTTTTTGTCATACACCTCTCTCGTTTTGTTGCTTGCTACGTCGATTCGTTACTTGTTTTCTGACCAACATTTCCGTTTTGTAATATGCACTGTGCAGTGTGCAGTGTGCACGTGCAAGGACATGAGTATTTGCAAAATGGAGTTAAATTGAAAATGGGCTAATATGTCTCCAGTCCGTTTGTGTACACAATAATTGACATTATTAAACACGAGCGAAGTTCATAGCATTGAGCCACTAACCTTCCCTCCCCTAGCACCCAGGACTCCTATTCACTTTCCCACACATTCGTATAATTGCAGCGAACACATTGCACGCACGTTCGCAGGCCGTTTCGCTACCGCTTCATCTAATACATTGACCGCTCTATCGGCTCTGCCGCACTGCCGTGCACCGCTCCCTACACATGTTCAGCTCCGGAGGCGCCGCCGGGCCCGCCCCTCACACGGCGGAGCGCGCGCGCTGCCAATTACTCCCAGCTGCGTGTCGCCGGCTCTCACGATAAGAGGAAGTTATCTCCCGATCGGCTGCGTAGCGTGCGCGCGCTGACCACCCGACGTGTGACACGTAAACTTGTTCGTTAGCGATTGTCCACCGGTTCGCTCCCTCGAATGCGATTGACAGTTTGGCGAAGGCGGTGAGTTGATGGTTGCGGAGCTAGGTCCCGGTTTGAGTGCCAGGTGATGGGAGGTAGAAAGGGGAAGGGTGACGAGACATTCCTATCAGTTCGGGGTGTCAATCGTCGTGTCCGGCGCCAATTAGCTGCACTGGCCTCGGTGTCTCGCCGCCACTAGAAGGGGGGGGGGGGAGGGGCGCGGGACCTGGCGGTCGGCAGCGGACGGCCGGCTGCCGCCGCGCACTGTGTACCAGTGCTGAGACAGGCAGAGGGAGCCACAGTGCAGGCGAGTTAGCGGCGTGCTGGGACGTCACAGAGACCGGCGAGGCCAGGGGAGGCCCCACCCACCGGCAGCCCTCCCACCACCATCTGCGTAATGCCCGGTGACCAGACAATGGTATCCAGCCGCCTGGCGCAAGTCATACAATTTTTATTTCCCATGTGTGCGACTGTTTTCATTGGAACATATGTGTTGCAATGTTTAGCATTAACAGAAATCATAGCAGTGAGCCAGAAATCCACGTTTACTCACAAAAATGCGTCTAACTCATATTCAATGTCACCCTGCGTGCTGAATGCAGGACTTCAAGTCATGAGTTCTCCAGCTATTGAGTAGGTCGCACCAAACCCCCGAACTCTGATTTTCCGGACAAACTTAGTTCAGGTCCAGCGCGACTGAACTAGTCCACCGGGAGAAACTGAGCGCTCCAGAGAAGCCGGCTCGTTGGCTAACGGCTCGGCTGGGCAGCGGCGTGGCTACGGTCTCAGTGACCTTAGCACCATATTACCTCAACACTTTCTTTATCCTGCTGTCGGAATCCGCTGCGGCTATCGGCCGCGGCAATCGCCAGCAGTTTTACACCTTTGAGCTCCGACGACGGACCGCGATAAGAGACAATAACCGTCGTGAACTTACCTTTCTTGGTTTAACACTTGTTTCGTAATGGGACCGATGTGAGCTTCGCAAGTCCCCTCGGGCCAGGCAGGTACTGGTTAGTGGTTTTAGAAAAGCGATGCATGCCAACACTGGACTGTTTTATTGGTAAGAGGACGTTCCTGTAAACGGGCAGCTTTAGAACAAGGGAGAGAGGGGAGCTACTGGAAATAATAGGTAAGATATGCAAGTGATGGACTTATTTATAGTTAAAATTGATAGTTAAATGGTTACTTCATTGAAAAATAGAAAACCTCTCCACTCCTTCAATTCAAGATATCTATCAAAACACATTGTACACCGGCACAGCTTATAGCCTTTGCATTAGCTCCTATCAAAATGGGTCATGGAACACAACACATATTGCTAATACCTAGTTTATAGCCAAGTGGCTTCCGTATTGACATATCCCATGACCAACTTCGCTCTTTATGGCTATATTGGCATTCTAACCTAGGATTCAGATGGTCCTGACATTAGATGATTCAATTAAGAATGACTGATGCATGCTTTTGACCGGAGTTTTCTGCTTTTCTTTTGCTGGGAGGTAACGTCAAAACTCACAAACAGATTCAGTGGCTGCACAGTGCACATGACCTCGTCTTCAGTGACCATCTGACAACATCCGTGTGCCGTTTCTAATATTTCTCCTTGACAGCTTATCTTAATCACATTATCAAATGCAATCAATCAACCATATTTTATAGCGCTCCATCTACAAAAGCATTACGACGCAATAAAAGTAGTATCTACTGCCAAATGGCGGATTACGGCATCCTGTTAGCTATAAATGTCATGGATGAAGAAGCACCGCTTACCCCATCCGCAATGACAATCTCTCTCTCTCTCTCTCTCTCTCTCTCTCTCTCTCTCTCTCTCTCTCTCTCTCTCTCTCTCTCTCTCTCTCTCTCTCTCTCTCTCTCTCTCTCTCTCTCTCTCTCTCTCTCTCTCTCTCTCTCTCTCTCTCTCTCTCTCTCTCTCTCTCTTTCTCTTTCTTTCTCTCTCTCTCTCTCTCTCTCTCTCTCTCTCTCTCTCTCTCTCTTTCACACATTTTCTCTCTCTCATTATCTCTATTTCTCTCTCTCCCTCCCTCTCTCTCTCTCGCTCTTTCTCGTCCTTCCCATTTCAGCCTTTCTCTGTCTCCCTTTTTCCCTTCATAATTATCTAATTTCTGCGTTTTATATTTCTGTGTTTTCCCATGTTTAAATTTCTTCGGTGCTTTCTTTAAATTCCTATATCTATAAAAGCAGTACTGGCAGATAGACTGTCCCGCCATGCATCACAGCGCTGCGGCGCAGTATCACTGCCGGCGCTACTAAAAGAACTGAAAGGTAGACTGTCCCGCCATGCACCTCAGCCCTGCGGCGCAGTATTGTCCGACGGTGCTTCAGAACATAAAATGCCGATAGACTGCGCCGCTGTGCGTCCTAGTTCTGCGGTACAGTATCATCCGCCGGCGTAAAAACATGTCGGTCTTAGTATGTAGGGTGCACCGCCGTACGTTCTGGCGCTGCCTTAGCTGCAGAATATATCTATCGTACTGGTTTCTTTTCAACCCATTCATGAATCAAACAACGCAAACTTGGATAGATGTTTGACGAAAAACAGTACAAATCACGTTTCACAATTTGATATGGACACATGCCATCATGACGATAAACAAGACACATTTTATTTGTCTTATAGACATTTTCTGACCTATCCACTAACAGTTATCCCTCAATCTGACCCTCGTTTAGCAACTCGTCCATAAATACAAAATCAGAAAATAATTTTTGTTGATAGTGCGGAACAAAAGTAGAAAAACACTGCGACGGAACGCCACAACACCTCGGCTACTGCCGTCTCTGCAGTGTGTTCAGCGCCCCTTTAGACGGCTCCACAGACCGCCTTGGGGCAGCAGAGCGGGAAACGCTCCTCGGTGGGCTCGGTCATCGTGCAGTCGGCTCCCTCCGGAATGTCCGGCAGAGGACACCTGCGGACACAAGGACACGGTTATCGGACACTCGAGGGCATGGGTAATATCGATGCCACGGTTACCAATATACCCGTCGATATGTGCAGTTGTGGACATCGAACAGTGGAAACAGATGAACACTGTCCGTTCAGAAAACTGATTATCCTGCTGTTACCCTTGCTGTATCCATACCTCATTCAGCATAAGGCTAATGACAGTATAAAGAGGCTTAAAAGGTAACGGTGAACAGCAAGAAGCATGCAATTTTCTGCCACATTCTCGGCTTTATGATCTACTTACAGCTTACAGGGCATTTCGGGTCAGCTTTTCATCGCAGGGCGTATAGGTAGCGGATGCTGGTGTTTTGGCGCGTGCATAGATTTCACTGAGAAACTCTGATCTGACCGTGACGCAGCGTTTTAAATGAACTCTTGGCATCACCAAATCTGCACCTCAGCTGCCCCGCAATGCGGTCGCACAGCGCGCGGCTCCCTTGGGCCTAGCAAATAACCTTCACACTGATTGTGCTCATGAGAATAGGCTTTTATTCCCAGTTGGACTCAGTAGTTGGACGAAATTAGTTTTCAGAAGCATGAATGCACGGAGGCTTGTGGCGAACGTCACCGTTACCTTAGCTAATCGGGACTTCCTTCATTTGGAATTACGTGGCCATGTGCAAAAATGACTATTTGATGCATTCTGAATCTCATCCAGGCGAGATCAACAACAGGCAATTATCGCTCACCTCCACTTATGTTACATGTTGCCATACACTGTCTGCCATTTGGTGATCTGTGAATGTACATATTAGAGAAAACGCTAGCAATGTTTCCCAGCACATAGTCTGGTATGTCTTACTATTGGTATGGTACAATTGGTATGTCTTACTTTTCCACCTCGATGACGAAGCCCTCGCCCAGGAACTCGATGCACTTGACCCTCCTGCAGTGCTCATCGGAGAACACCTCTCCGAGTCGGAACGTCTCGTGTACCGAGAAACAGGTTATCGCGTCCCGCTCTGAGAACAGACACACATTAGATCACTTTCAGAGGAAACACGGATGTATGTTCTTACAACGGTCATGAGAAAACGTTGTCAAAGGCTTCCGATGCCATGTTCGATATTCAGGTGGGTAGGTATTGAACAGTAACCAACTGTGAAACACGGCCAGGCTCTGTCTGTCTGTCTGTCTGTCTAACTGTCTGTCTGTCTGTCTGTCTGTCTGCCTGTCTGTCTGTCTGTCTGTCTGTCTGTCTGTCTGTCTGCCTGTTTGTCGCTCTCCCTCTCTTTCTTTCTTTCTCTCTCTTACACTCCCTTTGTTTTGCCTGTCTTTCTCTCCCGATGCTTTCATAGCACAGCCCTGATCGTCTCCCCCAGTCACAGTTGTACACATTTTCATTGGTCAATCTGCTCTATCCAAAACATAGCACAGCCCCTCTTGGCTCCCTGAAGCTACCTTTTCAAACAACGAGGCTCCTCGTTGACCATGAAATTGAATAAATGCATCGATTGAATAAATGCATCGAATTAAGCACGTTCGGTCGCAACAGTTTGGTTCAGCGGTTCCATTCATAGGAACACGGAGTATTAGCACATCCTGGGTGCTAAGTCGAGACCACAGCACGGAGGTTTGTGGCTCGGAGAAGGCTCTCGCTGTGTCTGGGGACGAGGGACGCCATGCTACTGCCGTCAGACTCGCTATTGGTCGGCACATGTGGCGACTGCTGACGTCACAGGCTAGGTAACATGGTGATCGACTTGATCGATATGCCCCGAGTGGAGAGGGCGGCCACATCAACGCGAATTCCGGCATGAAATTCTCACTAACAATCTTTTTGGATATATCTGCTGCATAAAAGTAGCGCTAGCTTCTGAGTGGCGCACTATTTATCGTAAGGAATAAAGGAAGAGCATTGTTTTATGTTTTTTATGAACTGATTTTATTTCTCGGTCTGTGAGGATTGATTGATGTCATTGATGTCATTGATAATGATAAAGTAAGAGGGAACATAACAATGGGATATTTTGTATTCCTCTTTGTTACTGGACGTTATGTTGTTTTGAAACACCCGAATTCAATCGTCGATGTTCTTCAGAAAGGTCGAGTGTGTAGCATGTCATTTGCCAGCCATCGGATGCCTCTGCACTCTGCAGCATTCGTTTAACATTTATAGGGATTGATGGAGGTCTGCAAATCAACCAGAGGCTTTCCACAATCCAAGTAATTGGATTTTCCTTCAAAACAAACATCAAAACTGGCAATTCTGGCCTCTTGCGCAATCGTTAGGCGGTATCAATATTCATAAAGCTCCTGCAAAGGCCTTACTCCCCACTGCGCGGTCGAGAAATCGGTAAACATACCACACTAAATCCTTTGAGAAGCGCTTCAGCGGCACGCAATCGGAGGCTTTCGAAGACTCGATTACAAATGCTGGTGATCACTAAACCACTCGATTGAGCTTCTTGTGCCGTGGCTCTGTATTTGAAACGACTGTATAGGTACAGTAGACACCCCAGCGCCAGCGAACTGAAATACAATGTGAATGACGGCTGCTTTGTGCACCGTTGTCTGCCATTGGGTTCCTCCCTTTCAAACCCTGTCGCTCATGTCGAAACGAGGAAAATTCCGCCAGCTCAACTAACCATGAAAGAAGTGTTCTGCTCTAGGGACTTTCTCCGAAAACGTTGTACCTTGAAAAGTAATTTTGCAGCGATTAAGGCTATATTGGGCCGTGCACGTTTGCTCATGGTGGGAATTCGATATGCGATGACTCTGATTGTGGACCGTATTCTTGCTGCAGCTGCATGTCTACGTCATAACCAGCTGCCGCGTTCTGCCTAGCGGCTCAGTGCCATGATCACATCAATTTGACGGTAAGCGTCTGAATGGGCAAACTACAACATCATAACTCGTATCTTCCGAATCATTTGAATATTTTCCTATCTTCACAACCTCATTCTCATTGAGCCTTGGTCCTTACGTATTTCTGTGTTATAATTTGGTCAAGAAGCTGGTGAATGAATAGCACTGACTGCAAGGTGTGCTTAATTGATCTATATGACCATACTGTCGGCACCAGTGATGTGCCCAGCAGGCCCCCGTGGCGAGCCGCGCCCCTTTCGGCACTCTCTGACCTCGGCCGCACCTCCTGGCGACCTTACCGACGTCCGTCAGGTCCAAGGACGGCATCGGCTGGCTCATGGTGCAGCCGGCGCAACGTCGTCCCGCGACGGACGGGTGTCAAGGCCTGCTGCAATGGTCGGTATGGGCCGACAGCCGCGGCACAACGTCTCAGCTCTTATGTGACCCGTGAATTACCTTCTTGACGCTCTGGAATTATCAGTTTGAATGACGTCTCGTCTACGGATTTTTTTTTTTTTTTTTTGGGAAAAGATGTGCCGAAATTATTTTGTCCAATATTATGCAAAATGACACTAATTAGCCTTTTGGTGATCACTATGCCAGTGCCACACGTTGATGCCAGTGTTATTCGGTCATTCACTTCGATTGTGACAATTGCCTTTCAAGAAGCCCAGTGCAGGTTCAGCCACTTCCTTACGTTCATGAACTCGTTACAGTTCGAAAACATTTTGTCAAGAGAGGTGAACATGGGAAAACTCTTTTTTTACTTAAAACTAGATCACCAAGCAAGCCATTTAGTGTTTAGTCGCCTGTTTCCGAACCGTTAGACAGGCGTAACTGAAACAAAACTCTCTGGGAATTTCTTCACCACTATCCGCCTCTGACCATAATCTGCGGGTCGCAGCAGTGGCGAACAAAACAAAACTGCTCAGCTAATGCCCGAGCGCTCTATCGCCGACCTCATCTCAAAACTGTCTTCAATTAAAACTCTGCGACACGGCTGTCTGTGCAGCTCAGCCGGAGACCTGTTTGTGTCCCGACTCAATCGGCGCGGCCGGCAGCACCTCTGGATCCCGGGCACTCACCGGACCGACGCAGGGCGGGGCTGGCGGCGGCTGGTGCCACGGTCACCAGCACACACACCAGCACCAGCAGCACCAGCAGTGGTGGCGGGGTACAGCGGTTCATCTTGATTCGGTGAGACGGTAGAGGACACGGCGCAGCGCACTCTCCAGCGGCACTGTCACGTCGGCAGCTCTCAGAACTCGTTTGTGGCCGGGCCAGCGCGGCTCCTCGGGGCCAGACGACGACGTCAATCGCTACGGGACGCCTCCTCCGAGAGAGCTAATCCGGCGGCCCCCGTCTCTCCCCCCCCCCCCCCGACCTCACCGGAGGATAGATCCCGCACACCGGCACCTGCAGCTGTCATATGGTTAGCTGGTGGCCGCTGAGTGGTGAGCTGGTGCAGCGGATAGGTCAGCCGCTGAGTGGTGAGCTGGTGCAGCGGATAGGCCAGTGGCTGAGTGGTGAGCTGGTATAGCGCATAGGTCAGCTGCTGGGTAGCCTATAGTTAGCTTCTATATAGTCAGTCTGTTGCGGTCAGTTGCTGTAGCCACTGGGTCAGTTGCTGTGCGGTGAGCTTCTGAAAGAGGCAGGTCAGCTCTGATGTAGCAGGAATGTCAACTGCTTTTCTGTAACTGACACGACGAGCTGAATGTTGATGCTGTTAATCGCAGTTCGCTGCAGCTGCACTATCATTCTCAGTCATGAGTAGCGGTTGCTCCAGCCCAGAATGGCGCCATCACACCATATCGCTACAGCTGAACTACAGGAAAGAGCGACTGTTACACCAAACCATGTGAAGCCACACGGATCTACCAGCCACCTGATATCACACAAAAGATTGGTGTTTGCGCTCTTGCTGCATTGGTAAGTCTTCAGACAGAAAGAAGCTGTGGTGGGCGGCTGGAGACAATGACAAGTAAAATGATGCTCGGTTTCTGTTTGACGTCAGTTCGGCTCTGTTATTATCGAAGCTTAGATGCCTTTCTTATACGACGTTCGTCATCAGTGGTGGATAAGTCGATCCTTAGCTGGCAAACGTTGATATCCCTTGTGTGTAAATAAACAGTGAGCATATGGCCATGGGCAGACCCAGTGCTAATCTATCACTCTTTGTGTGAATGTTTATGCGGCCCTAAATACCCGCCGCTGATCCACACTAGCTCCGTATTGTGGCCGGCCTAAATTGAAAAACGCTACTTACCGTTGACACTAAGCAATGGTTTTAGGCTTGCGTGCCTCCAAAGCTGATATCGGAAGCGCGCCAAATGACTATCCGAAACCAAGGCCAGCAACACGGGGAACGTGAAAGTTGGCGGCGGGCGTGATATGAGTCAGAGGCGGGCGGCGGCTCTGAAACACTACACGGTTACAGGCGGGCCTGAAACACCACACCAGGCGGTGGCCGAGGGCCTGAAACACCATACGGGCACGGTCGCGGGCCTGATACACTACACGAGCACGGGCGGGTCTGAAACACTGCACGGGCAGGGTCGGGATGAGCCGGTGACATATCGGTACGGGCACGGACATACAGTGAGAAATATCAGCAGGGATGGCCTGTGAATTTATCGTCACGAGCGAGAGACCTGTAGATCTCTGACCCCGTCCCTGCTGAAGCCTATCGTGTCACACTGCCACGCCAGTACTTCTTGTCAAAGTAGTAGCAATGCATATCTTAATTACAGAGCGCTCACTAACCAACTAAATTCGAGAGCAACATTGCGATGTTACTACATTTCCATTGCAAAAGGTAAACCGACTTTGCGTTTCTTTTTTCCATCAAATCACTTAGTCTTAAGACATCATTGAATTTGTAAAGATACGATTAGGTGCTAGCTTAAGCCATATACACGCTCGTTTTTCGCATAAGGTGAATAGTATGCGAGAAAAACGCACATGAAATTTCGTTTGATCTATTTAGACGTGTCATGGAGACGTAGTGAGTGTTTGGTGAAAGGTACGGTTACTTTGGCAAAGCAATGCTTTATTTTGCGCTTTAACAATAGCAATGGCGTAGCTGAAGTGATATTTTAATGCAGCAATAGTTCTGTAGCTATAACATAAGTGCCTTTTTTAGATAGACGGCTACGATGATCTCATATAATCTCTGCCAAAGCCTGTCCTTCAAACTGCGTCGCTCTGGGGGCACCTTCAGCAGACAGACTACTGGATCTTTGCAGAGATGCAGTGGTAAAATGTGACTGTTCCATGAACTCAGAAATAAAATAAATCATCTAACCATTAAATCATCAAACATTCCTGATCTTCTTGATTTGATTTTTCAATGTTTGTCATAAAAACGTGAGTCGAATGCCGAATGTTTTCAACTTCGTTATCGTCCAACACTACCAAAGCTTTATGTAAATACTTTTGTTTAAATAGCCTCTGATGTTGGTTGATATTGTTTTACTTTGATATTGATATCATTTGTAAAGAAAACTGTGAGTTGTATTTATGCATCGCGAGATTCAATTGAAAGCAACAACGAGCTCATCACATATTGTCACTCATAATGTTTTCATGTTTTCAGACAAGTAACAATGCATGGCTGTTTCATAATCGCACGGATAACATACGTTTGAGCATCATAGTATGCCAACATTTGTTGACGTACGTTACGTTCTTGATACCAAGAGTTTATTCGAGCATCGGCAGGAAACCAAATGTGAGTCACTTCCATGAGACCATATTTCTTTGGTATGACAATTATGCTGGTGGCGTTTCTATCCAGTATCCCCACACTGTCCCACCCGCTCTGTAACAGTTCAATCAATCAATTTCAACTGTCGACACGGTTTCCAGTGGTCTGCTGGTCTTCCCTGAACCGCTGCACAGAACGCCAGCGGTGATGACAGGCGACGACCCGCTGCCCTGGTCGTCAGCTTAGTTTATAGCCATTAGCGTCAGGGGCATAGAGGTGCATGTCAGCTCTGAAGGAAAACCTATCGCTTATCTCTGATCAGATCAATAAGCATAGTCTGCGGTTAACACTGCAGGAGCTGGTCAAATTGAAAAGAGATTTATCATAGACATTTGTCTTATAAGTAGATACGTTTCATTAATAAACAGCCTGGCTTTAGCACAGGATGTCATTTGCCAAGGATAACAGAGATGTTTTAGTGAATGTTTAAGTGAAATGTCGTCTTTGTGGTAATAAATTTGGCTTATGCTGTAAATGCAATGCGCATGAACCACTCCCCAATTGCGAAACATACAGGGTGTCCACGTCAAAAGTGTACCCAGACTCTTCTCCGTATTTTATCTAAAAAAACATCACACTCACAAACAATTGCCCTCGTTTGAGAGTCTAAGCAATGGCAAAACATTTGCTATGCTTCTCAACTGTGCTCGGCACTCTGCTGAGCAGCGCGTGCCGTCTAGAGCAACTGCTCTATATGAGCCCCTTTGCGTCGGGCCACCGCCGGCAGACGGACCGTGGCATGTGAAATCCCACAATGTCCCGTGCACTGGGGATCCCACCGCCTAGAAAAAGTTCAGACCATGCCTCTGAAAGTATCGGTTTGGGTGGCAATTAGGCATGGAGGAGGCATTATCGGCCCCTTCTTTTGCGAAGACGACAGGGGAGAGACAAATACAGTCACCGTAACGCTAGAACGCTACGTCTCGGCGGCACTGGAACCATTCTGGCGAGAGCTGAAGCGGAGACGCGGGATCCGTCGCCATGAAGAATGGTTTCTACAGGACGGGGCGCCACCTCACACCGCCAAACGGTCGCTGGAAATCCTGGAGGAGCACTTTCCTGACCGCCACATGAGCTTGAAAAGCGCGGTGGAATGGGTTCCCCACTCGCACGACCTCGGCGCTCTAAACCCTCTAAATCGGCCCTTCTTGTGGGGCTTTCTCAGTGTACGCCGGCAATGCAGTGTCGACCCAGGAGCTGAACGACGCCATCAGCGACGAGATCCGTCGCCTTCCTTCCCACATGGTTGACCAGGCGATCACCCACCTCCAGACGGTCTGCCGGCGGTGGCCCGACGCAAAGGGGCTCATATAGAGCAGTTGCTCTAGACGGCACGCGCTGGTCAGCAGAGTGCCGAGCACAGTTGAAAAGCATAGCAAATGTTTTGCCATTGCCTTGGCTCTCAAACATGGGCAATTGTTCGTGAGTGTTATGTTTTTAAGATACAATATGGAGAAAAGTCTGGGTACACTTTTGACGTGGACACCCTGTATTTATCGCCGCATTTCTGAATGCTTTTCAAGGAAATCTAATAGTGCTTAGATTATTTGACAGGATGCGCCTAGGTTTACGAAGCTTTTGTGATTATAAGCAAAAGCTATTTGCATACATTTTGTCCTGATAGCAAATCAGTATCATTTTTTGGTCATTAAATGTGTGAATTGGTAGAACAACCTGCAAGATTGGGATATGTGTTCACACTGTTCGCAGGCATTAATGATTGAATAAGATCTTTGGGCTCGATGGTGTAGCATTCATATCTGTACCTGCACGACTGGGTAAGAACTGAACCACTAATGCTCGTAAATTGTGCCCGGTGAATAAAATGTCCACGTCAGAATTTCTACGTTTTTTCGCAAAATTTTACACCAAAATTAACAGTTAATATCACGACTGCAGAGACCGCCGTTCTGCTATGAGACAGGTGCCGCCGCCGGTGCCCCTGGCCCACCATTCCTGCACGTGGCGGGCGGCTCGTTAAACCGGCGGGTCACGGAGATGACTGGGAGGCCGCCGAGTGGTTTACATGCCTGCATTGTCGAGCGGCGTCCGTGGCATCCGCGCCGCCGGCGGCGGCGGCGTCCTGTCGGCCGCTGCCCACACCACTCACCGGCCATGACGGATGGCGGCGCCCCGGCCGGTAGCGCCCGCCCGCTCCCCGACCGACCGCTCCGGCGCGCGTGCTGCCGCGGCTCCTCCCGAGACCAGAGCCGATGCTAATCGTGCTCCCGCCGCCGCCGGCGCGCGCTTTTTGCGGCGGGCGCGGCGGCCGGCCGGCAGCCGCTCCAGTCGGCATCGGAGCGGCGGCAGCACGCAATTACCGCAATGATCGCGGCCATCGGGCGGCCCTAATGCCAGCCCGCCGGCCGGTCACTGTAATAAAGCGGCCGGCGGTCGTCCATCGGCCGCGGCCGTCCGTCCATCGCTCCTCGGCCGCAGAGCACCGCCAGTGACACTAACCGGTCGGCCGGCGCGCCGGCGACACTTAGCGACGCCGCGCCGCGCCGCTCCACGCCGCAGTCGCGTCTCCGGCGCGATGCAATTACTCTGCAACGTCCGGCGGCGGCGCGGCGGCGGAGTGGCGTG